AATGGAGGAGAAGGGATTGCGGCGTGACCATCCCCCCTGGGGGGTGATTTCTCGCTTTCTGTCTCTCTGTTTCTCTCTGTCTGTCTGGCGAGCTCACACGCCCTATAGCGAAAAAAACCTCTCAAAAAAAAACAAAAAAAAAAAGAAATCCGTGCAGAGCTTCAACGGGACACAGGCAGAATCGCAGTGGGTTAGCAGACCCGTTCTGGAGGGGAGCATAGAAGACGGTTCTAGGGCTCGGCGGGTCAGGAACAGCGTGCTTGAGGCAGATGGGTCTCGGTCTCCAGCTCCAGGGACCCACTGTTAGGGAAGGGCGCTTTACGCACCGCAAACCGGCTGTGGAGTGCTGCCGCGCCAGGTAAGCAGGACTGCTGGTCCCAGCATCTAGACTCACATCCACTTTACTAAAAACCAAAGGACAGGCGCCGGCAGATGGCACAGTGGTTACGTCCCTGGACTCCCACAGGGCAGACTGTGGGTCGAGTCCCGGACCTGGTGGCTTGAAACTCACGCCAGGCCTGTGTGCATGCGTGCCCAAGATCCCAGGAGAATGGAGAAGGGATTGCAGCCCACCCCCGGGGTAATTTCTCGCTTTCTCTCACACTATCTCTGTCGCTCTCCCCTCTTAAGCACATATGCTCTAAGGCAAATACCTCTTTAAAAATTGATTAATTAATTTAAAAAAGTCACAGGATACATTAATACCATTGTTTTTCAGGAACAAATAGGAGGACACACCCAGGAGTAAATGGACGAGATCCAGGGGGACAGTGCTGTGAGGAGAAGGACACGGAGGGGCCTGCGCAACACACATCCGCCCAACGCGCCCAGTCACGCGACACACATCCCGCCCAACGCGCCCACTCACGCGACACACATCCGCCCAACACGCCCAGTCACGCATCACACATCCGCCCAACACGCCCAGTCACGCGTCACCAGCAGTCACCTGCAACTGTTCAGTGACCTCTTTGTGGGCTTTCTCCATCTGGTTCATTTTGGCTCTCATCTGAGACTCCTGGTACTGGAAATCGGCCTTCAGCTCTGTAATCTGAGGGGGAAGGCAGAATGACGTGAAGAAACATTTGTGCAACAGAGTTTGGGCATCAGGGACTGAGATGGCCCCACGGTGGTGGAGCCCCGGGCTCTCCTGCAGGTCCCCGGAGAGCAGGGCCAGGGATGTCTGCACCCTCCTGTTTCTAACACTTCCTGAAGATTATACAAATCCTCACATCATATTTCTGGTCATCACTAGCAGGACCAGTGGGTGGCATGGTGGTTGAGACGCTGGACTCCCACATGGCTGACCACGGTTCAAGTCGTAATGGCTATGTCACTGGACTCCCACGTAGTCGACCGCGGTTCGCATCCCGGACCCGGTGGCTTAGAACTCACGCTGGACACATGTGCGTGCGTGCCCAAGATCCCGAGAGGAGAATGGAGGAGAAGGGATTGCGGCGTGACCATCCCCCCTGGGGGGTGATTTCTCGCTTTCTGTCTCTCTGTTTCTCTCTGTCTGTCTGGCGAGCTCACACGCCCTATAGCGAAAAAAACCTCTCAAAAAAAAACAAAAAAAAAAAGAAATCCGTGCAGAGCTTCAACGGGACACAGGCAGAATCGCAGTGGGTTAGCAGACCCGTTCTGGAGGGGAGCATAGAAGACGGTTCTAGGGCTCGGCGGGTCAGGAACAGCGTGCTTGAGGCAGATGGGTCTCGGTCTCCAGCTCCAGGGACCCACTGTTAGGGAAGGGCGCTTTACGCACCGCAAACCGGCTGTGGAGTGCTGCCGCGCCAGGTAAGCAGGACTGCTGGTCCCAGCATCTAGACTCACATCCACTTTACTAAAAACCAAAGGACAGGGGCCGGCAGATGGCACAGTGGTTACGTCCCTGGACTCCCACATGGCAGACTGTGGGTCGAGTCCCGGACCTGGTGGCTTGAAACTCACGCCAGGCCTGTGTGCATGCGTGCCCAAGATCCCAGGAGAATGGAGAAGGGATTGCAGCCCACCCCCGGGGTAATTTCTCGCTTTCTCTCACACTATCTCTGTCGCTCTCCCCTCTTAAGCACATATGCTCTAAGGCAAATACCTCTTTAAAAATTGATTAATTAATTTAAAAAAGTCACAGGATACATTAATACCATTGTTTTTCAGGAACAAATAGGAGGACACACCCAGGAGTAAATGGACGAGATCCAGGGGGACAGTGCTGTGAGGAGAAGGACACGGAGGGGCCTGCGCAACACACATCCGCCCAACACGCCCAGTCACGCGACCCACATCCGCCCAACACGCCCAGTCACGCGACCCACATCCGCCCAACACGCCCAGTCACGCGACCCACATCCGCCCAACACGCCCAGTCACGCGACCCACATCCGCCCAACACGCCCAGTCACGCGACCCACATCCGCCCAACACGCCCAGTCACGCGACCCACATCCGCCCAACACGCCCAGTCACGCGACCCACATCCGCCCAACACGCCCAGTCACGCGACCCACATCCGCCCAACACGCCCAGTCACGCGACCCACATCCGCCCAACACGCCCAGTCACGCGACCCACATCCGCCCAACACGCCCAGTCACGCGACCCACATCCGCCCAACACGCCCAGTCACGCGACCCACATCCGCCCAACACGCCCAGTCACGCGACCCACATCCGCCCAACACGCCCAGTCACGCGACCCACATCCGCCCAACACGCCCAGTCACGCGACCCACATCCGCCCAACACGCCCAGTCACGCGACCCACATCCGCCCAACACGCCCAGTCACGCGACCCACATCCGCCCAACACGCCCAGTCACGCGACCCACATCCGCCCAACACGCCCAGTCACGCGACCCACATCCGCCCAACACGCCCAGTCACGCGACCCACATCCGCCCAACACGCCCAGTCACGCGACCCACATCCGCCCAACACGCCCAGTCACGCGACCCACATCCGCCCAACACGCCCAGTCACGCGACCCACATCCGCCCAACACGCCCAGTCACGCGACCCACATCCGCCCAACACGCCCAGTCACGCGACCCACATCCGCCCAACACGCCCAGTCACGCGACCCACATCCGCCCAACACGCCCAGTCACGCGACCCACATCCGCCCAACACGCCCAGTCACGCGACCCACATCCGCCCAACACGCCCAGTCACGCGACCCACATCCGCCCAACACGCCCAGTCACGCGACCCACATCCGCCCAACACGCCCAGTCACGCGACCCACATCCGCCCAACACGCCCAGTCACGCGACCCACATCCGCCCAACACGCCCAGTCACGCGACCCACATCCGCCCAACACGCCCAGTCACGCGACCCACATCCGCCCAACACGCCCAGTCACGCGACCCACATCCGCCCAACACGCCCAGTCACGCGACCCACATCCGCCCAACACGCCCAGTCACGCGACCCACATCCGCCCAACACGCCCAGTCACGCGACCCACATCCGCCCAACACGCCCAGTCACGCGACCCACATCCGCCCAACACGCCCAGTCACGCGACCCACATCCGCCCAACACGCCCAGTCACGCGACCCACATCCGCCCAACACGCCCAGTCACGCGACCCACATCCGCCCAACACGCCCAGTCACGCGACCCACATCCGCCCAACACGCCCAGTCACGCGACCCACATCCGCCCAACACGCCCAGTCACGCGACCCACATCCGCCCAACACGCCCAGTCACGCGACCCACATCCGCCCAACACGCCCAGTCACGCGACCCACATCCGCCCAACACGCCCAGTCACGCGACACACATCCCGCCCAACGCGCCCACTCACGCGACACACATCCCACCCGACCCCCCTCCCCCCACCACGCCCACTCACGCGACACACATCCGCCCAACACGCCCACTCACGCGACACACATCCGCCCAACACGCCCACTCACGCGACACACATCCGCCCAACACGCCCACTCACGCGACACACATCCGCCCAACACGCCCACTCACGCGACACACATCCGCCCAACACGCCCACTCACGCGACACACATCCGCCCAACACGCCCACTCACGCGACACACATCCGCCCAACACGCCCACTCACGCGACACACATCCGCCCAACACGCCCACTCACGCGACACACATCCGCCCAACACGCCCACTCACGCGACACACATCCGCCCAACACGCCCACTCACGCGACACACATCCGCCCAACACGCCCACTCACGCGACACACATCCGCCCAACACGCCCACTCACGCGACACACATCCGCCCAACACGCCCACTCACGCGACACACATCCGCCCAACACGCCCACTCACGCGACACACATCCGCCCAACACGCCCACTCACGCGACACACATCCGCCCAACACGCCCACTCACGCGACACACATCCGCCCAACACGCCCACTCACGCGACACACATCCGCCCAACACGCCCACTCACGCGACACACATCCGCCCAACACGCCCACTCACGCGACACACATCCGCCCAACACGCCCACTCACGCGACACACATCCGCCCAACACGCCCACTCACGCGACACACATCCGCCCAACACGCCCAGTCACGCGACACACATCCGCCCAACACGCCCAGTCACGCATCACACATCCGCCCAACACGCCCAGTCACGCGTCACCAGCAGTCACCTGCAACTGTTCAGTGACCTCTTTGTGGGCTTTCTCCATCTGGTTCATTTTGGCTCTCATCTGAGACTCCTGGTACTGGAAATCGGCCTTCAGCTCTGTAATCTGAGGGGGAAGGCAGAATGACGTGAAGAAACATTTGTGCAACAGAGTTTGGGCATCAGGGACTGAGATGGCCCCACGGTGGTGGAGCCCCGGGCTCTCCTGCAGGTCCCCGGAGAGCAGGGCCAGGGATGTCTGCACCCTCCTGTTTCTAACACTTCCTGAAGATTATACAAATCCTCACATCATATTTCTGGTCATCACTAGCAGGACCAGTGGGTGGCATGGTGGTTGAGACGCTGGACTCCCACATGGCTGACCACGGTTCAAGTCCCGGACCGGGTGGCTTGCTTTCTCTCTCTCTCTGGTAGTTGCACATGCCCTGTAGCTAACTAAATAATAACAACAGTGATAAAAGGAGTTAAATAAATAACTCTTTAAAAAAAATCACTAGTGGGACAAGCAGATGGCGTAATGGCTACGTTGCTGGACTCCCATGTAGTTAACTGCAGTTTGAGTCCTGGACCAAGCAGCTTAAGCCTCACGCTGGGCAGGTGTGCATGCGTGGTCAAAGTCCTGAGAGGAGAATGGATTGCAACGTGGCCATCCCCCTGGGGGGTGATTTCTCGCTTTCTGTCTCTATGTCTCTCTCTGTCTCTCTGGTGAGCGCACGTGCCCTATAGCAAAAACCTCTCCAAAAAAAAAAAAAAAGTAAAAAACCACTAGCAAGTTTTTGAGATTGCATGTATTTAATATAAATTTATATAAGCCAGCCACCCTCCAAACCCTCTGAGCACAGCATGCAATGACTGACAGCCCCTGAGGAGCCGTGAAGGTAACACTTGCTGCAGGCTAGGGCTCTTGCATGTCCCCACACTGGTCATCCCCTCCAGTCTCCGTGACAGCCCTGTGGGAGGCGCTGTCCCGTCACACACGGGCAAGCAGAGGGTGAGAGCGGGGCACGGCCGAGGCCACCCAGCCTCGGCGAGGGACAGCACGGGGCAGAGAGAAGGGCCCCTCGGTGAGCAGCGCTGGGGCGCAGTGCTGGCAGGCATGGCAGAGACCGACCACGGTCATGGTCACGATGGGGAGCGCGGGAGTGGCCGGAGCTGAGGCCTGAAGGGCGGGAAGGCGCCTGGCCTGAGTGCTGCAAGGAGGCTGTGCTCCTCTGCTCCTTTTGGGCAGGTCATTGCTGCAGGGCGTGTGCAGTCACAAGAGAGACAGAGACAGAGAGAGAGCATGCAAAATCACCCCCCAGGGTGGCCACACTGCAATCCCTCCCCCCAGTCTCGTCCTGGGATTTTGGGCGCTCACGCATATGTGCTTGGTGTGAGTTTTAAGCCACTGGGTCCAGGACTCGAACCACAGTTGGCCATGAGGGAATCCAGTGATGTAACCACTGTGCCACCTGTTGGCCTCAGTTTTGCTCCTTTTAAAACCTAATATGCAGGCCAGCAGGTGGTTAAGGTCGACTGTAGTTAGAGTCCCACCCAGTGACTGGGAAACCATGTCAGGCATGTGCGTGTGCCCAGAATCCCGAGAGGAGGATGGAGAAGGGACTACAGCATGGCCAGTGTCCCTGGGGGGTGATTTCTCCCTCTCCCTCTCTCTGTCTCTCTCAGGTGAGTGCACATGCCTTGTAGCAAAAACCTAAAAACCAAAAAATAAATTAAAAAAAAAAAAAAAGAAGAAACCCTATTCTAAAAAGCCATAGAAACAAGTGTTCCTTTGGTCTCTATCAAAAATCCTTCTTGGGACCAGCAGATGGCATAATGGTTAAGTCAGTGAACTCCCACAATTGAATGCAGTTTGAATCCTGGACCCAGAAGCTTAAAAACTCATGCCAGGTCGGGACCAGCAACTGGCGTAATGGCTATGTCGCTGGATTCCCATGTAGTCAACCACGGTTCGTGTCCCGGATCCTGTGGCTTAAACTCAACGCCAGGCACGTGTGCGTGCATGCCCAAGATCTCGAGAGGAGAATGGAGGAGAAGGGACTGTGGCGTGGCCATCCCCGCAGGGGGGGATTTCTCACTTTCTGTCTCTCTGTCTTTCTGGCGAGTGCACGTGCCCTACAGCAAAAACCTCTCTCTTAAAACAAAAACCTTCACGCCAGGCGTGTGTATGTGCCCAAAATCCTCAGGGGAGAATGAAGGAGAAGGGGGGGTGATTTCTCACTTTGCCTGTCTCTCTGGTGAGCACATGCACCCAATAGCAAAACATCTCTCTAAAAAATCCTTTTAAAAAATTCCTGGAAGGTGCAAGTACGAGGGGTGAGGGGAGGGGAAGGGGGAAGGGGAGGGGAGGGGAAGGGAGACGGGGAGGGGGTGAACACCCCAAACGGGCACGGTCGCACTGTCCTTTCCTCCATCTCTCCATCTTATGAGATTTGGGGCACGCTTTCACATGTGCCCAGAACTATGGTAAGGACATGGGACCTGGCTATTTTCTTAATTATTCATTTAATTTTATTTATTGGTATTATTATGTAATTTGCTAGAGGGTATGTATGCTCACCAGAGAGCGAGAGAGAGAAATGAGAAAGTCAGCCGCCAGGTCCGGGACTCGAACCACGGCTGGCCATGTGGGGGTCTGGTGCTTTAAGCACTGTGCCACCTGCTGGCCTCCCTTTTATTTTTATCAAGGTTTTTGCCATAGAGTTTGTGCAGTCCCTGGAGAGACAGAGACAGTGAAAGGAAAAGCAAGAAATCACCCCCCAGGTGGATGGCCACGCCGCAATCTCTCCTCCATTCTCCTCCTGGGATTTTGGGTGTGCACATATGTACCCGGAGTGAGTTTCAAGCTGCTGGATCTAAAACCACAGTCAGCCATGGGGGAGTCCCGCGCCTTAACCACGCCACCTGCTGGCCCCCAGGACTGGCCCTCAAAAGCCCATGTGTCCTGATCTGGTGCAGAGAGTGCATGAGGGCCCGCTGTCGTGACGGTTGCACGGAAGGGGAAAGGATTTGGGCCTCTCCCCTGCTGCTCCGAGCTGTGCAACTGCACGCGGTACCTCGCCCCGTGGCTACTCCTTCATCTGTGAGTGAAGACAGAGACTGACGAGCCACGCACATAATTTATCACTGGGCTGGGCAGGGACGGTGGCCGGCTCCCACGTGGCCCACTGCTCAGGTCGAGTTCTGGCCCAGCAGCTTGAAGCACAAGGAAGGGCCAGCAGGTGGCGTGGTGGTGAAGGCACTGGACTCACACGTGGCCCACCACGGTTCAGTCCTGGACATGGTGCTTGCTTTTCACTTTCCCTCTCTTTGTCTCTCTCTGGTCAAATCAAAATAATAATAATTACAATATTTAATTAAATAATTATTTTTTTACAATGAGGGGCCACGCAGTGGCATGGTGGGTGGGGTGGCTGGATCCCACATGGCTGACTGTGCGGTCAAGTCCTTGACCCGGCAGCGTGTAAAACATGCCAGGCGTGTGTCTGTGCACGCCCAAAAATCCCAAGACGAGACCAGAGGAGACGGGACTGCAGTGTGCCCGCCCCCGGGGTGAGCTCTCCGCTCTCTGGTGAGTGCACGCCCCTCGGCAAACTGAAGGCACACCAGGTACGTGTGTGTGTGTCCAAAACCCCAGACAGAGAGGAGGCACTGGCGTGGCCATCCCCGCGTGCTCTCCTCTCTCTCCAAGCACATGCACCTTCTGGCAAATTCAAAATAAAACGAGCAGCGCTCTGCTGTCCGGGGCCTTGCGGAATCAATCAGAGCGCTCTGAGCTCGGACACCAGGCAAGGCCTCAGGGGGGACAGCCGGGGCGCGGCTCCCAGGAAGTATGGAGGCGTGCTCCGCTGGTCAACGAGCGACCCAGCCTCCAGGGTGGCCCTGGGACAGACAAGTTAGCAGCCAGCCAGCCCCCCACGGAGCCGGGACCCAGGGACGCTTGCCCCGTGGTGCAGCCGGAACCTGCTGCTCCCAAGCAGGTCCCACGGGACGACTAGGGCTCGAGCTCTGAGGAGTGGAGGGCGGGGGGGAGGGCCCTCTCCCACGTGCAGTGCGCATGCTCCACCAAAGCAGCCGTGTGACGTGGCAGCAGAGCACGGATGACGGGCAGGTGTGACAGACCAGGACGCCTGCGCCCAGAACCAGGGGTCGCGCCGGCGGCGTTAACGTGACAGTGCCTGGTGCACAGACAGGGTGTGAGACCGGACAGGAGGGAGCAAGGAGCTCGCGGCCGGGCCGTTCAGGCGGTGGAGGCCACGGCAACACCCTGACCTCGGCGTCACGGGGAGCCCCGGAGCTCGGCCCAGAGGGAGGCCTGGCCATGGGCCGCGGGGTCACCCGCCTTCCACAAGCAGACCTTTCACGGCTGGGATGGAGGCGTCAGAGCCTCGCAGCCGGAGGGGGTTTTGTTTGTTTTAGCTTTTTTCTCTTTTATTTTTTTGGAGAGGTTTTTGATACAGGGCATGTGCGCTCGCCAGAAAGAGACAGAGACAGAAAGTGAGAAATCACCCCCCAGGGGGGATGGCCACACGGCAATCCCTTCTCCATTCTCCTCTTGGGGATCTGGGGCACGCACGGACACGCACCCAGCGCGAGTTTAAGTCACCGGGTCCGCGACTCGAACCACAGTCGACTACATGGGAGTCCAGCGACATAGCCATTATGCTAACTGCTGGTCCCAGCTTATTTTTTTTAATTTTAAATAATTATGTATTGGAGCCAGCAGATGGCCTAGGAGTCATGTCGCTAGGCTCCTACATAGCTGACCAGTTGCAGTCCTGGACCTGGAAGCTTGAAAATCATGCAGGGTGGGGGCTGCAGGTGGCATGGTGGTTAAGGGTGCTAGACTCCCCACATGGTTGATCACAGTTCAAGCCCCAGACCTGGTGGCTTGCTTTTTCATTTTCCCTCTCTCTCTTTCTGACTCTGCCCCTCTCTGGTCAAATAAGGAAGGAAGGAAGGAAGGAAGGAAGGAAGGAAGGAAGGAAGGAAGGAAGGAAGGGGAGAAAAAATCATTCTTAAAGAAAAAAAGAAAGAAAACCATGCACGGCATGTGTGCATCCCTGCCCAAGGTCCTGGGATGAGAAGGGATTGTGGTGTGGCCATTCCTCCTGGGGGGCGATTTCTCACTTTCCCTCTCTGTCTCTCTCTCCCTGGTGAGGGCATGTACCCTAAGGCAAAAGCCTTTAAAAAAGGAAAAAAAATTATTTAATTTTATTTATCATAATTATTATTTTTTAATTTGCTATAGGGCACATGTGCTCACCAGAGAGACAGAGAGAGAGGGAAGTGAGAAAACAAGCTGCCAGGCCCGGGACTTGAACTGCTGTTGGCCATGTGGGCGTCCAGCACCCTAACCTTCACCCTCAGGCTGAGAGTGTTAACCGTGTCTCCTGCCCTGACATCACGTGCACCTAGCGCCTTCTGACCAGCCATCCCAAGAGCAGAGTGCCCCCAACCCCACCAGGAACTGAGCGGCAGTCGCAGTTCTGTGGTCATCTCTGTCAGCCTCCTGGCAAACGCCCTCCCTGAGCTCAGGCCCCTGCAGGCGCTGAGCAACAGCAACTTTCCAGACCCGTTGCCAGGGCGCTGCTGCCCCAGACACGAGCAGACCAGCAGCGTCTCCGTGGGGCCCCGAGATGCCATGGGCCTGTTGGGCAGCACTGAATCACAGAACCGTCAGGCCCGCCCCAGCACGCTCTGGCCCGAGAGGCGCCGCACACAGTACCTTCTTCTCTTTCTCCAGAAGCATCTGGTCCTTCTGATGCAGCATCTTCTTCAGGGCGGCTACCTCCTCCTTCAGCTGGGCCGTGACGACAAAGTGGTCAGTGCCCGGGGAGTCCAGGGCCAGGTCTGGGGAGAAGCTGGATGCCGGGAGACACTCAGAGACAGCAGGCAGGCTGCTGCGCCCCAGGGCGAGCCCAGGCCCCCCAGCCCCAGCCCTGCAGAGGCAGCCCGGGCCCAGCACACACCCGACTCAGCCATCGGCAGAACCGCGTATGTGAGGAGGCCGCCCAGCCAGCCAGAGCACCCGCAGGCCCTGCACTGCGCCTCCCCACGTGGGCTGGGAGGCTGCCGACCTGAGAGCCAGGGTATGACGATGCACAGCCCGGGCTTGGGCGACACCCCAGAGCTGGGTGGGCGTGATGGACGCTCAGCGCACCTTCAGCTCCCACGGAGCTCTCGGCTCTGTGTCTGCTTTCCGGGGCAGAGCCCGGTGGCAGCCTTGGCCCCTGGCAGCAGTTGGGACTGGTTCAAAGGCTACGCAGGACAGGGGCCGGCCTCTGCTTGGCGACTGCGGCTGCTGAGTGCCCCTCCCATGCCTGCTGAGCAGGGACAGCACGTCCAGCCTCTGCGGCACTGGGCTCTCCACTAGTCAAGCCCAGGGAGCCCACCTCAGGCTCACCCGTTTCGGGACGTCTGAAGGCCCTGAAGTTATAGGCACACTCACGTCCGCCCCTCTGTGGACACCTGCAGTCACAGCTTCCACTGCGACCAGAGGCACCTCCGACCCCGGGAAGGGCTCACTGCGGAGAGGGCAGAGCTGCGCCTGCAGGAGTCTGGAAGGCCTCTGCTTTCGGGACAATTGCTCTCAGTTGCCGCAGGGTGTGCGTGATGGCCGGTGTGTGTCGGGGAGCATCTCCCAGTGGGCTGTGGTCATGCTGCGGCCCTTTCTCCACTCCCCCACCCCGGCAGGGTCTGGGCACGATGCACGGGCCCCTGGCATGTCTTGTCGGCAGCTGGACCACGACTCAAACTGCAGCTGGCCACGCAGACTCCAGATCTTTTAGGCATTAGGCCACTGGGCAGGCCCCCAGGACAATCTTCAAAGTAAAACACATACTTGGGGGACCAGCAAGTGGCATAATGGCTATGTTGCTGGACTACCAAGTAGTCGACTGCAGTTCGAATCCCAGACCCCCGGTGGCTTAAACTCATGCCGGGTGCATGTGCGTGCGTGCCCAAGATCCCAAATGGAGGAGTAGGGATTGTGGCGTGGCCATTCCCCCTGGGGGGTGATTTCTCACTTTCTGTGTCTCTGACTCTCTCTGTTTCTCTGGCAAGTGCACGTGCCCTGTAGCAAAAACCTCTCTAAAAAAAAAAAAAAAAAAGTAAAACAGACACAGACTCTTAGCACCCACTAGGACATCGAGTCCCAGCACTCTTCCTGGACCTTAAACCACATGTAAGGAGCATTTCTCCACGCAGGGAGAACCCCAAACAGCAGCCTTGACCTCGGGCGTGATCCCCGCCACCAAGGCAAGCACCCACGGCTGGGACAGAGACAGCCCACCGGTGAGCCCCCACCCCGCTGCAGCACGAGTGTGAGAAGCGTGTCGGAGGAGGAGAGAGCCCGAGCGTCAGAGCTGAGGGACATGTGGGTGACTGGGCAACATGGCAGAGTGCAGACCACCAGCACAGCGAGGGGCCTTTGCTCTGGACGCGCCACCATCCGCCCGCAAGTGGGCCCTCAGAGCCCCCTGCCTGCTCCCCGCTTTGGAGGGTTTCTCCCGACCAGCCAAAGCTGGCCATGCCAGGCCTGCGGGTGAGGGCCTGAGTGCTCTCACTGCTGGAAGTGAAGAAAGGTGGCCAGGCTGGCGAGCTAGACACTGCGGTTTTTTCCAAATGCCCCCAACGACAGGAAACTTGTTCTTTTCCAGGAGCTCTTAAAGAACAGGCGACCTCAGGGTGAGCCTAACCCTGGCCTACGGCCCACACGCAGGCCCTGCACCTGTCTGTAGGGGCCGTAGGGCAGTCCCTTTCCGAGGGAGGACAGGACAATGCGATCACCAAGGAGCTGTGATGTTCTCTCAAGGAAGGAAAAGCTAGACGTTACCTCAGATTCTCCTCAGATCGAAGGTTCTATTGGGGATCAGCAGCAGGCACGAGGGCTGGGGCACCGGACTCCACCCACGTGACCAACTGAGGTTCGAGTCCCAGACCTGGTGACTTGTGTTTTCACTTTCTCTCTCTGTCTCTGTTTCTCTCTGACCAGCACATGTGCCCTGTATTAGGATGAAAAATAATGATACTGGGGGCCGGCAGATGGCAGGTGATTTTAAAGGTGCTGAACACTCCCACATGGCTAACCACAGTTCAAGTCCCCGACCTGGTAGCTTGCTTTCTCACTTTCCCTCTCTCTTTCTGTCTCTCTCTGGTCAAACTGGAAAATAATAATAATAAAGTTAAATAAAAAAAATTCTTAAAAAAAAAGAAAAATAGAGACCAGCAGTTGGCATAATGGCTATGTCTCTGGACTCCCATGTAGTCAACCGCGGTTCAAGTCTCGGACCTGGTGGCTTAAACTCATGCCAGGCATGTGTGCATGTCCAAGATCCTGAGAGGAGAATGAAGGAGAAGGGACTGTGGTGTGGCCATCCTCCCTGGGGGGTGATTTCTTGCTTTCTGTCTCTCTGTCTCTCTCTGTCTTTTTGGTGAGTACACGCGCCCGATAGCAAAAACCTCTCAAAAAAAAAAAAAGAAGAAGAAAAGAAAGAAAAAAGAAAACCAATGACATTGATAAAATTAAATACAAATAATTCATTTTGGGGACCAGCAGTTGGCATAATGGCTATGTCGCTGGACTCCCATGTAGTCGACTGCAGTTTGAGTCCTGGACCTGGTGGATTAAATTCACACCAGGTGCGTGTGCATGCGTGCCCAAGATCCCAAGAAAAGAATGTAGAAGGGATTGCAGCGTGGACATCCCCTCTGGGGGTGAGTTCTCACTGTCTGTCTCTTTCTGGCAAGCACACACGCCCTATAGCAAAACTCTTTCGAAAACAATATTTTGTTTTAAAATAATTATTTATTTAACTCAATTTGTTATTATTTATTATTATTATTTTAATTTGACCAGACAGAGACAAAGAAAGAAAGAAAGGGAAAGCGAGAAAGCAAGTTGCCAGATTTGAGACTCGAACAACCATCAGCCATGTGGGAATCCAGAGCCTTTATCCACCATGCCATCTGCCAGTTCCATAAAAATCTTTTTTTAAAAAGATAATTATTTTGTTCAATTTTATTTATTATTACTATTTTTAAAAATTTGACCAGAGAGAGACAAAGAGAGAGGAAAGGTTAGAGAGCAAGTCACCAAGTCCGGGACTTGAACCATGGTCATCCATGTGGGTGTCCAATGCCTTAACCACCACAGTACCTGCCGGCCTCTATAAAAGTAATTCTTTTTTTTTTTAAGATCCCCCTGGGGGGTGATTTCTCGCTTTCTGTCTCTATGTCTCTCTCTGTCTGTCTGGCGAGCGCACGTGCCCTATAGCGAAAAAATAAAATAAAATAAAAATAAAATAAAAAAGAATTATTTAATTTTACTTTATTTATATATTTATATATGTATTTATTTTAATTTGACCAGAGAGAGAGAGAGAGAGAGAGAAAGTGAGAAAGCAAGCTGCCTGGCCCAGAACTCAAACTACAGTCAGCCACATGGGAGCCCAGTGCCCTTAACCAGCACTCCAGCTGGCAGCCCCTATAAAAATAATTCTTAAAAAGGAAAGTTTGGAGAGACCAGCAGATGGTGTAATGGTCACAAAGCTAGACTCCCATGTAGTCCACTGCAGTTCACGTCCTAGACCTGCAGCTTGAAACACGCCAGGCGCGTGTGCGTGTGTGCCCAGGATCCCGAGAGGAGAATGGAGGAGAAGGGGCTGAAGTGTGGCCAACCCCCCTGGGGAGTGATATCTCGCTTCCTGTCTCTCTGGTGAGTGCACACACCCTATAGCAAAAACCTCTCTTAAAGTTTTCATTACAATTTCAACAAACGAATTAAGAACCAGTGAGAGGGATGATGGAGGTTTTAGAGGACACTAAAAACAGAAAGACTGAAGCTCCAGAACAGAGGACCAGTAGAGTGAGGTCTGTGTCCATGACAGAGGCCAGAGGATAAGCAGGAAGAGGAAATCACACAGGCCTCAGTATTAACTACGTGAGCAAGAGGGACTGCTGTGCAGAAAGGCCGGTGGAGAACGAAGGAGCAATGTGCAAAAGACACAGCAGTGGGCCGGGGCACGGAGGTGAAGGCACCGGACTCCCACCTGGGCGACTATGGTGCGAGTCCCAGATTTTCTCTCTCCCTCTCTTGGTCTCTCTCTGGTGAGCATGTGTGCCCTATGGCAAATTTAAAAAACAATAATAAATAAAATTAAATAATTCTATTTTTAAAAAAAGGGGGGCCGGCAGGTGGCATGGTGGTTAAGGGCTAGACTCCTACATGGCCGACTGCGGTTCAAGTCTCGGACCTGGCGGCTTGCTTTCTCACTTTCTCTATCACTCTGTCCCTCTCTGGTAAAATTAAAATAAATAAATAAATAAACTTATAAAAAAATTTTAAAAAGATGACATAGGGAGTAAAACTAAAGAGTTAGAGCATACATTTAAACATGCACAACTATGGAGGCTAGCAGGTGGTAGTTAAGGCTCTAGACTCTCACATGGCTGCCAGTGGTTCGAGTCCCGGACCCGGTGGCTTGAGAACCACACCGGGCACATGTACCCAAAATTCTGAGAGGAGAATGGAGAAGGGACTGCAATGTGGCCAACCCCTGGGAGCTGGTTTCTGTCTCCCGTGTCCTTCTCTCTTTAGAAAGCACACACACCCAGAGCCAGCAGGTGGACTAGTGAGTCAGGGGCCCGAATCCCCACATGGTCGACTGTGCTTCGAGTCCTAGACCTGCAGCCCTGCATTCTCCCTCTCTCTCTCCTTCTCTGGCAAAACTCATGTGAAAAAATAATAAATAAAATAAATAATTCTTTAAGAAAAATAAAGTACACATACCCTTTGGAGCCAGTAGGTGGTGTGGTGGTTGGGAGCACTGGCACCCCACAT